TCCACTGATTAATTGTTCTCACTATCAGGAAATTTCTCCTTAGTTCCAGGTTGCTTCTCTCCTTGATTAGTTTCCATCCGTTGCTTCTTGTCCTGCCTTCAGGTGCTTTGGAGAATAGCTTGACTCCCTCTTCTTTGAGGCAGCCCCTGAGATATTGGAAGGCTGCTATCATGTCCCCCCTTGTCCTTCTCTTCATTAAACTAGACATACCCAATTCCAGCAACCGTTCCTTATATGTGTTAGCCTCCAGTCCCCTAATCATCTTTGTTGCTCTTCTCTACACTCTTTCTAGTGTCTCAACACCTACATCTACATCTACAGTTTAATCTTTGCCTGAGCAATTGCTTGTGGCGATAAATACACTTTGGGAAGACCTAAAGGAACAGATCAACTTGAGGTCTACCTATGTGATTGCTCAGAGTTGACACTGACTCGACGGCAATTGAACAATTCAATCAATCCATCCAATATTCCTCCCAGCTGGAACCCTGCCAGTCTCTGTTCTTAAGGGATCATAATTCAAAACTTAATAAAGGCAATGGAGCACGTTTTTAGCAAACTATCCTTCACCAAGTATTGGAGGTGCCTCCTCTGCTGGATTCAAGCTTCGTGAGGACCGAGAGTCAGCCAACAAAACAAATCGGCAGAGTATTCCCTTTAAGAATGATTATTTCCTTAGTGGAAGTCAGGAAAGAAGCTAGTTGAACTCATAACCTTGACGAAGAAACATGATTTAGTGGGACACGGGGTTCCTACAGTGTGTACAATGCTTCAGATGTGATTCCCCAAAAAAAAATGCATTTGGGGAAATGCAAAAGTTCAAACTTAACACCTGTCTGCAACTTTTCTAAACAGCTTTATCTTTTCTTAGAACGTGCATATTTCTCCTTGTCCTTGGCAGCCATTGTGTAATGATTAAAGGCCCGGAGACTAAAATATATCAAGAACGGTTGCAGGATTTGGGAATGGCCAGTCTAGAGAAAAGAAGGACCAGGGGGGACATGATAGCAGTATTCCAGTATTTGAGGGGCCGCCACAAAGAAGAGGGAGTCAAAATTATTCTCCAAAGCACCAGAAGGCAAGACAAGAAACAATGAATGGAAACTAATCAAGGAGAGAAGGAACCAGGAATTAAGGAGAAACTCCCTAACATGGAGGACAATTAACAGGGTAGAACAGCTTGCCTCCAGAAGTCGTGGGCGCTCCATCACTGGAGGTTTTTAAGAAGAGACTGGACCGCCACTTGTCTGAAATGGTATAAGGTCTCCTGCTTGATCAGGGAGTTGGACTAGATGACCTCCAAGGTCCCTTCCAGCTCTATTCTGATTCTGATCCTAAAAAAGCTAAGGTTGCCCGTTGTTAGCCAAGAAAGCATGCCACAAAGCAAACACTGAGACTGCCAGAATGAAATGTGAGCTCCAGGACTGCATAATTCTACTGCCAGTAATATTAGATCTGGATTCGATCCGCAAAGTTCCTCCTAAGTGATGACCATCTGGATGGAACTGCAGATGGAAAGCTAGGTCCCCCCACAGTTTCCTCTCCTCTCCTTCCTCCCAGCTGACAATGGAAGTGTGGGCTGCTTTTAAATCTATTTTAGGACACCCGCTAGGATTTGCGAATTTCCTGATTCAAAATGAGGACCTTTCGCTGCTCACGTTCAACAATTACGCCAGCGAAATTCGAACGTACGGAAGAGGGAGGCTAACAAAAGCAAAAAGACATCTCCATTACGGGGGGGGGGCTCCTCCGCTTAGGACCCACGGTGGAGCCCCCGGTTTCCATCATTAAAACAAGGCAGGTGTTAAGTGAGCTTTGCGCCATTCTACGACCTTTTCGCCACACAGTTGTTAAGCGAATCACAGCCATCGTTAAGGGAATTGTGCGGTTGTTAAGCACATCTGGCTTCCAGCTGGTCAGGAGCTGGCTAAGAAGATTACAAAATGTTGTTCATGCAAGAGACAACGCAACTGTCACAAATGCATGCCAGTTGCCAACTTTTTGATGACGTGACCCTGGGGAGGCTGGTGTGAAAATGATCACAAATCCCTTTTTTTCAGTGCTGTTGTAACTTCAACCAGTCACTAAACACATGTTTGTACGTCAAAAATTACCTATATGCTTTCCCAGGGCTACTGCCCTTAAGTTCATAGGTCTATTCTTGACAAACCTGAACAGCAGGGCCCTATCCCCCCCAAAAAATGAATTTTAACATGGAGAAAAGCAAAGTTTTACATTTAGGCAGGAAAAATCAAAGGCACAAGTACAGATTAGGCAAAATCTGGCTTAAAAACAATAACACTGAGAGGGACCTCGGAGTCCTAATGGACGATCACTTGATTATGAGCCAGCCGTGTGCAGCAGCAGCCAAAACAGCTAATACAATCCTGGGTTGTATAAACAGAGGCACAGAATCAAAATCACATGAAGTATTAGTACCGCATTATAAAACACTAGTAAGGCCACACCTGGAATACTGCAGCCAATTTTGGTCACCATATCACAATAAAGATGTTGAGAGTTTGGAAAAAATTCAGAGAAGAGCAACTAAGATGATCCAAGGCCTGGAGACTAAAACATACGAAGAACGGCTACGGGACTTGGGTCTGGCTAGTCTAAAGAAAAGAAGAAATAGAGGAGACATGGTAGTAGTATTCCAGTATTTGAGGGGCTGCCACAAAGAAGAGGGGGTCACGTTATTCACCAAAGCACCAGAGAGAAGGACGAGAAACAATGGTTGGAAACTGACCAAAGAGAAAAGCAACCTAGAATTAAGGAGAAACTTCCTGACAGTGAGGACAATTAACCAGTGGAACAGCTTTGCCTCCAGAAATCATGGGTGCTCCATCACTGGAGATTTTTAAGAAGAGGCTAGACATTTACCTGTCTGAGATGGTATAGGCTCTCCTGCTTGAGCAGAGGGCTGGACTAGAAGACCTCCAAGGTCCCTTCCAGCTCTATTCCTATTCTATTCTATTCTATCCTATCCTATCCTATCCTATCCTATTCTGTAATTGTATCCTGTAAATTCTATTCTATTCTATTCTATTCTATTCTATTCTATTCTATTCTATTCTATTCTATTCTATCCTATCCTATTCCATTCCATTCCATATTCTATTCCATATTCTGTTCTATTCTGTTCTATTATGTTCTGTTTTACATTCTATTCCATTCCGTTCCGTTCCATTCCATTCTATTCCTTAAAAAAAAAATATCTCTATTAACAATCATATTCCTATATCCTGGCTAATACCCCGAATCAATGTAGAATGACAAGCCTTTTCGCGGGTATAACCATCTTAGAAATTAATTACATTTAGCAAAATATTATTAATTAGAATCCACGACTAACATCTCAGAAACACTATTATCTTCTTAACTGCATCTCAGTGAATTATTTCAATAGACCCACGAGAGCTATCGTGAAAGATTATTTTTCTGCCACCAACTTAAAAAGGAGAAAAATTCAATGCAATTTTTGCCAAGCATTTTATATTCAGATGGGACCGTGGACGACTTATTTCTTGTCTGGAAGCATCTTTTTCTGTGTCCGCGGAATAACGAGGGTAATAATAATAATAATAAAAGTATGATTTCAGAACAATGTTCTTGCAATTTCTGCTATTTATCCTGGAACCATAGTAGCATAATTGGCCAACCTTAGATGATTTCAAAAGAGGCTAAGTGGAGTCAGCTCCGCTTAGTACCCGGAAATACCAGAGTTGTAAGCAAGACTGGATTTTTTTAAAAAAAAATAAAAATAAATATCAAGCCTATGAATCACTGGGAGTCAAGTTCAACTTTAAAAAGTTGTTAACGTTTAACAAGCAGCATTAAGATTCAAATTCCTTGCTATAAAAACTGACCACGAGATCATGTTCGGTTATTTGTTTACTAGGAACAAGCTATAAAAAATAAATAAATACCCAGGAACAGAAATATACTGGAAATCATACATTGTAATGGTTGAACATCTGAACAGGAGCTTCAGATCGTTGGTCTTGTCTGGTCCCAGAAATAAAGAAGGATCAGAGCTGGTTCATACTTGGATGACACACCAGCAGAAAAATCCCAGGGCACGGAAGCAAGATGGAGAAGTCGAAAAACATCTCCCAAGAAGATTTTTCAATCATCCAGGTGCTGTTCAAAAAAAGGCAATTGGACTTTGGGGGGGGGGGTGTCCCCGCTTTGAAAACATTTCCCTTCTCACCCAAGAAGCTTCTTCAGTTTACAACCTCTTGTGGGTGATCTCACACGAAGGCAAGGTCAACCGTGGCGGAGAAAATGAAATCTTCATGAAATCATAAGGAGGCAGGCTTAGTTTAGGTGAGTGTTTACTTTCTCGGTAGACAAGGTGGATTTTCACTAGAGAGAAAGAGAGGAAGGGGGGAGGGAAAAGGAGGGATAGAGAGAAGGAAGAAGGAGGAGGACAGGAGGAGGAGAGAGTGAGGGAGAGAGGGAGAGAAGGAGCAGGAGAGGAGGAGGAGAGAGAGAAAGGGAGAGAGGGAGAGCCGGAGAGAGAGAGAAGGAAGGAGGAGGAGGAGGAGAGAGGGAAAGAGGGAGAGAGAAGGAGCAGGAGAGGAGGAGCAGGAGAGAGAAAAGGGGGAAGAGAGGGAGAGGGAGAGAAGGAGCAGGAGAGGAGGAGAGAGAGAAAGGGAGAGAGGGAGGAGGAGGAGGAGAGGAGGAGGAGGAGGGAGAGAGGGGGGAAAGGGAGAGAGAAGGAACAGGAGAGGAGGAGGAGGAGAGAGAGAGGGAGAGAGAAGGAGCAGGAGAGGAAGAGAGAGAGAGAGGGAGAGAGGGAGAGAGGGAGAAGGAAGAAGGAGCAGGAGAGTAGGAGGAGGTAGAGAGAAAGAGAGAGAGAGAGGGACAGAGAGAGAGAGAGAGAGAGAGAGAGAGAGAGACAGACAGACAGACAGACAGACAGACAGACAGACAGACAGACAGACAGACAGACAGACAGACAGACAGACAGACAGACAGACAGACTTGGGACTTACCCAGAAGATGATGTTGTAGCTGAAGAGGAGATATTTATACCAACAGCTGATTTCAGCAGAAGCATATCGGTAGTAGTGCATCTTTTAGAGGGCAGCAACTGTGCAGAACCAGGGAGAGAGAACTGCCGGTTAGCAAAAGAGAAGTCACTGGATTCAGTTTATGTAGCTATCCAAATAAGAGCAGCACGGTGGCCTAGCGGGGAAGACGCTCGCCTCCCACTCGGAAGGTTGAAAGTTCAATCCTAGGCAGCAAAAGATATTTCTCTCCTAGCCTCAAGGAAAAAAAATATATATCTGCTGTGTACTCCACATAGGCATCAGGAAGGGCAGCCAGCCGGTAAATGCTCAGATACATATAGTCGCCTTGACTTTGCCCTAGATTAAGGGATTACAGGGGTCATAAAAGGGAGTTTTGTGTAGCTATCCCAAAAAGGTTCAAATTAGTATAACGTGCCCCAAAGAAATCTTCAGAGCACTGCAGTCTAAAGCAAATTTCCAAGCGGTCAAATTTATATATTAAGCTTGGATGGTGCACCAGAGACCATCCCAACCTGGGATGGTTGCCCATGTTCTTTGCCCTTGTTCTACTTTTTTTTTTTTGGGGGGGGGGGAGCCTATATCCTCCTTTGGGGGGCACTGATTGAAGATCTTAGAAAAAGAAAGAGAGAAAAGCTGAAGTAGTGAAACAGAAACCTAGAAATAAACATGACTTGGACATCAGCTAGCCGATAAGCTCTTGCTTTTAAATAACTTTAATTATTCACTACCCTAACAAACATTTTATTGTGCAAAACCCAACGGTCATGTACTTTTTCATCTTTTGCCAAGATTGCAACATTCATTCCGTGCCCTAATGAAACAAATTTTTTTTATTAAGAATACATTTTAAAGAAAGAAAAATGACTTTGGTTAAGAGAACTATGGATTAAAAACATTTTTGCTGTTATCTAACCCAAGGTAACAAATACTGGCAAACAAACGTATCTGTAAGGTCAGAGTTAAGGCAACCTTTAACTGGGTTTTCACCCTCCAGAATGCAAGGAAACTGAAGATTGAGATTAATGCTTTGGCCAGCGGTTTCTGATAATTAAGAATTATGTGCAATGTTATCAAACTTCAGCCATTAATTAGCATTTTCCTCCTACTTTGCAATCACATGTCTTGTTTTTTCATGCCAAATTCCAGATGGAAAGGATAACACGCCAACAGCTTTTTTCCAAAAAAAAAATAATTACCGTACATACTACTAAAACTCTGATTCCTGTAATCTTTAAGTGGGCCTAACGTTGCACCGTTGGGCAAAATATTTTGAACCCAGGGACTTCAAATGGGCCAGCTTATAGAATGGGTCCAAAATCCGGATGCATGGAGTTAAAATTTGGCAAATTCTACCCAACATTTTACGACAAACATTATCATACATTTGTGGCAGAACATACAAAATGTCCTAAAATGATTTTTGTGCTGATGTTTGACGGCGCTATGCAGTTCACCATAAGAAAGGCTGAGCACCAAAGAATGGAGGCCTTTGAACTCTGGTGCTGGAGAAGACTCCTGCGACTCCCCTGGACTGCAAGGCGATCAAACTGGTCAGTCCTAGAGGAGATCAACCCCGACTGCTCTTTAGAAGGCCAGATCCTGAAGTTGAAACTCAAGTACTTTGGCCACCTAATGAGAAGGAAGGACTCACTGGAGAAGAGCCTAATGCTGGGAAAGATGGAGGGCAATAGAAGAAGGGGACGACAGAGAGTGAGGTGGCTGGATGGAGTCACTGAAGCAGTAGGCGGGAGCTTCAATGGACTCCGGAAGATGGTAGAGGACAGGAAGGCCTGGAGGAACGTTGTCCATGGGGTCACAATGGGTCGGACATGACTTAGCAATTAACAACAACAACAACATGCAGTTCAACCTGGGTATTTTCAAGGCAGAAACATCTCTGAAAGTAGTCCCAACTATTTGAGACAAGGCAGTATATTACCAGTTCTGTCATTGTTGGAAGCCTTGTGGAATCCGATAAGGAAATGTCTCTGAAAGAATGGCCCAAGAGGTCACTGGTTGTCTAGTAACAAACTAAAAGGGTAGCCAAGTTTAATAGATCATCTTGCAAAATTTTGCTAGCTTATCCCCCAGTGGCACATTTAGCTGTGGAAAGCTAATAAATAAATTGTCTGCAAAACATAGGCAATGGCTTCCAGGCATGGGTGAAAAGGGCAATCATTTTTATGACTTCCTCACTTTTAAGGTTCACCATGTTTCCTGCCTTACTTCTTGTGCATTTTTTTATTTTAAATTGGGATTTGTCATGAGTCACGCTGAGTGACGATGTTATTGGGGAACACAGAGTTAGTGTCAGGCATCGGAAATCAGGAGCCAAAATGGTTCAAATGAATGCAGGTTAAGATTCTCTCCAAGAATCTGAACAACTAACGGTCAGAGCAAATTGGTGGTAGATGAGAATCAATGGAATTCAAGGTGGGCTGGACTTAGATCTCTTATGAGCGCAAAGGGACTCAACACTAATGACATGCTTGACCCCTCCTTCAGGCTCAGCATGGTTAGCTTCTACAGCAGTGGTCCCCAAACTTTTGGGCACCAGGGACCGGTTGCCAGGCTGAGTCAGTTCTGGGTTATTTGATGGCCTACACATAATAATAGCTATAACTATAAGTGTAGCACAGGAAGTCCTCAACTTACGACAATTGAGCCCAAAGTTTCTGCGGTTAAGTGAGACGTTTATTATGTGACTTTTGCCCCATTTTACGATGTTTTTCCCCCCACTTGTTAAGTGAATCGCTGCAGTTGATAAGTTAGTAACCCGGTTATAATATCTGTGGCCTGTACAAGATATTAACGATGTCCTTATTCGGTAGCCTATTTCTATAGAAACCATGACCTGTATTAAAACAGGCAGCATCTGAGTCCATCACAATCCCCAAAAGTTTGGTGAAGCTGGGCTGAGCTGACAAATTTTTTTTTTAAAAAAAAAACCACTCAAAAAGGGAAGCTCAGCCACAATCACAATTCTGCATTTTGAGGCTACCTGCCTTACTCTCTTGCAAAGAGATTGTACCCAGAGACCAAATTAGAACTCGCCTCTAGAGAAAGGGAACCAGCGCCCTGCCCTGCTCAGTTCAGGGTGGACGTAGAAACCAACAGCTGTCAAGTGGTGCACAGAGGAAACACTGAGGATAACGTGGAAAGGGGAAGGGACGCATTTGCGTCCCCCAACAGTTTTGTTCTTTGGGTTGTAATGAAATCTCCATGGTGTGTGGCTTTGTACAGCTGGGATCCAACATCTGGTTTTCTTCCCCAATAGCAGCTCTCCAATCTATGT